GAATTTTAGTGAGGGCCCACTCAGCACATTCACTCAGCAGCCCTTCAGACTGATTTTTCCCCCGCAAATCCAACGCTTGAAACACAGAATTTGAGCCCCTGGAAGAGCCCCTGGAAGATCTGTACCAAGTGCAGAGTGCAGAATTCCTAGGGGAAGCTTTGGAGAGACACAAACATCGCCTTCAGAAGTGTATAGACCCAGCTGGAGGAGACGTCGAGAAACAATAGCTTCACATTATGACTAATAGAGGTTTCTGCGATCTTGTAGCAATGCATGTTGACTTCACCTCTAATAGCTAGCGCGGGAATTGCCGGCTCATATGGCAATTCTGTATTCGGCTTTCGAGGCGCTACCAAAGTGAGTCCATCATTTTAGAGCAGAGGATGGGGTCTCCAGTGTCTCCACAACTGTAGATATGCCTGCTGTTTCCCTTTTTTGGATAATTGTCATTCTAGAGGGGGTGCGGTAATATTTCACTGTGATTTTGATTTGTGTTTCCCTTGGGCTGCTAACCTCAAAAGGTCAACTGTTTGAACCCCCCAGCCACTCCTGATGAGAAAGTCAAGGACGTCTGCTGCCTGCCCCAGCCCTGACCCCCCAGTGGAGATTCATAGCTCCAGAGACCCTTGGGAGCAGTTCTACTCTGCTCGTCAGGGTTGCTATGAGTTGGACGCTAATTGATGGAAGGAGGTTTAGTTTGGCTTAGCTTCTCCTGGCGACTGAAGGATTCCTGGTGGTACCATGGATTGGGTATTGGGCTGTTCACTGCAGGCTTGCTGGTGCACGCCCACAGACTGCTCTGTAAGAAGCAAGGTGAGGCGGTCTGCTCCAAAGACCTGCAGTCTCCAAACCTATTTAGTGTCACTGAGTCAGAGTGACTCAATGGCAGTGGATTTTAGGATTAATGGCTGAGGAGCCCTGTAGGTACAATGGGTTGAGTGGTTGGGGTGCTAACTGTGATGGGCAGTTTAGACCACACACACCACCCTCACCCCCAGCTGCATCTCAGGAGAGAGAAGAGACATTCTGCTTCTATAAAGATTTACAGCCTTGGAAACAGGAAGGATCTAGGAAGCAAAGCTATGGATAGGGGTTTAAGCATAGATGTGTACATATGTAAATACATCATTGATCCATAAAAATAGAGGTATTGGCCTATGTACATATATTTACATTGGCAATATACTGCGGTAGTGGACAGACTTCGGGCCTCTACTCATACCCTCCCTCAATACAAGAACACCTTGTTCTAACAAATTGACATTCTGTGATGTTCACCCTCCCGGCATGATTGCTGAAGACAAAAGGGGTGCATAAGCAAATGTGAAGAAGGCAGATGGTGCCCAGCTATTAAAAGATATAGCATCTGGGGTCTTAAAGGCTTGGAGTTAAACAAGTGGCTATCCAGCAGAGAAGCAACAAGCCCACATGGAAGAATCACACCAGCCAGTGCAATCAGGACTAGGTAACAGAAGACCCATAACAAACAAACAAACAAACAAACAAAAACATATTGTTGAGAATGAGGGAGGTCAAAGCACCTGCACTGTGCCGGGATCTTGGGTCCAGAGGACACACTCTATTCCCAGCTCTTACTGGTAATGAGATCCCTCCTCCTGCTTCTCAGAGGGCTCATTTTGTATGCAGCAGGATGGCACTCCAGGGAATCCTGTTGATTATTCACCAGTGAATCCTATCAGTATCTTCTTCCCACCTTCTTACCAGACCCATGCTGGAAGGGTGGTTGGGTGGAAGTTAGAGACTTTGGCTGGAAGAGCCACATTAAATAAACTGCCCATGCACAGCTTTATAACATTTTTATTTACTTAATTAAAATTAAATGTGTATGTATATGAAGAAGCATGAGTGATACATTGAGTACTTTTATAATTACATAGTGTTAATTGATTAAACCACTAGATGATAAGCTTGAGGCAGTGACTGCTTTTATTCATTTCTTTCTTGTGTATTTGCTGGAAGATAAAATACATTTCTTCTTCTACTCACTCCCAACATAAAACTTCTACCCTGTGTCCAGTAGAACAAGAACCCAACTTTGAGAAGGGGAGTCATAAAGTGATTTTATTTTCCCCAGGCAGTAAGTAATAAGGGAGAGAGATGAGACGTTCTACTTCCAAAGGCTTAGAATCTCGGACCCCCTGGGGTCTCTGTTCTATAGGGACACTGAGTTGGAATCAACTTGATGGTAGTGGTGAGTGAATAAGTCAGTCAGTCAGAAAGTCAGTAATAAAAAATGCTACTGAAAGATTAAAAATGGATATCCCATTATGATTTTCTTAATTACTAAGAATATTGCTCAGATATTAGTAATAGAAAAGCATCATTCAAAATCAAAGTAATACAAAAAGATATTAAGTAGTCTTTCTCCTACCCTTGTTTCTATCAATTTTGTGCCCTTTACTCTGCCGAGTACATTTGTGCATTTAACAGATACTGATTGAGTAGCTCAGTAATCAGTATGTTCCAGGTCCTAATATAAGTGCTAGGGTTAGAGTGAAGAATAAAAACAGTCAAGAAAAAAACAAAACTAAAACTAAAAACCCCATTGTGCCTTCTTGGAACTTGCTTCCGGTGGGAGAGGCAATCGGTAAGCAAATAAGTAAGCTATATAGTATATAGGCGATCTATAGTATACAAGAAAGTACGATGGGGTGGGGAGAGAGCAGGGGATAGGGAACAGAGGCCAGGGGTGGGAGTTAGTGTTTTTAAAGGATGGTTAGTAAAGATCTCACGTAAGCACAGGCTTGAGGGAGTTTCAGGAGCAGGCCATGCAGATGTCGGGGAAGAGCACTAGGTGAGGGCACAGCCCACGCAAAGCCCCTGAGGTGAGAGGGGCATGGCATGTCTGCGAAAGCGCCCTAACAGGCCAGTGCAGCCGGGCTGCCCGAGAGCGAGCGGGAGATGTGGTCAGAGAGGTGAAAGGTGTGAGGCTTTAGGATGTACTTACTAAGCTTTTATTTTCTTTAGAACAATAGTTTTATTGACATAAATTTCTTATCATTTTAATAGTTCAATCATGTTTTTTGTTTTGTTTTAGATCATTTTATTGGGGGCTTGTTCAACTCTTATCACAATCCATATGTATGCATCCATTGTGTCAAGCACATTTGTATATTTATCGCCTTCATCATTCTCAAAACATTTGCTTTCTACTTGAGCCCTTGGTATCAGTTCCTCATTTTTTCCCCTTCTTCCCTGCTCCCCACTCCCTTATGAACTCTTGATGATTTACAAATTATTATTATTTTGTCATATCTTACACTGCCCAACATCTCCCTTCACCCATTTGCTGTTGTCCATCCCCCAGGGAAGAGGTTATATGTAGGTCCTTGTAATCAGTTTCCCTATGATGTTTTAATAATTCAGTCATATACAAATCAAAAGAGTTGTGTAATCATCAGTTTTAGGGCATTTCTTCCTTGTACTCATTGTTGTTAGCGCCCATGTCCCACCACCCTCCCCTGTAGGTGGTGGGAGGTGCATGCTGTGAGTAGTCCCTCCCCATGGTGACCTGTGTCCGGGAGAACAAAACAAGCCCTGGCCCAACGCAGCCCAGTTGGTCTTGCTTGAGTCCCCATCTCCTTGAGGCCATTCTTCTTTTGCTCTGTCCCTCTTTTGTCCAGCATGATGCCCTTTGCCAAGGACTGGGCTCTCCTGACAGCATGTCGAGCGCACCCCTAGGAAGCTGTTAGTCCCGGCTGTTGTCTCTATATATACCTATCCTGGATTTAATGTACAGAAAAATGTGCAAAATCAAAACCAAACCAACAACAATGGCAGAATAAAGCAGAAAAACCTCAATGAAAGAAAGCAGACAATAGTAAATACTGGGACAAACATACACTGGCTCAAACGATAAGGTGTCATATGGTAACCTACCTACAACTGCAGTAATCTACCGTACGGCGTTCTCTTTCTGATTAACAAGGACATTCCCATTCCGGGGCCTGGTCAGCAGGGATTCACCAGGGGACCCTGCAAATGCGTTTGGGGCTTTTACTGTCACCCATGACCTGAAAACTGAGTGTTGTACTGTGCTTTTGTGTAATTGAAAATGCTTGTAGTGATGTGAAGAAATACCCATTTAAAGTGCTTAAGTGTGGGTAGGAAAGAGGGAACCGATTACAAGGAACTATATGTGACCTCCTCCCTGGGGGACAGACAACAGAAAAGTGGGTGAAGGGAGACGTTAGTCAGGGCAAGATATGACAAAATAACAATTTATAAACTCTCAAGGGCTCATCGGGGAGGGAGGAGCGGGGAGGGAGGGGAAAAATGAGGACCTAATGCGGGGGGGTTTAAGTGGAGAGCAAATGTTTTGAGAATGATGAGGGCAATAAATGTACAAATGTGCTTTAAAAAAAATAAAGTGCTTAAGTGTTGGTTTAAGGTTAAAAACACTTTAATTTTTATACTTTTCAATGTTCATGAATTTTTCATGCTTTCAGGCAAATAAAATTTTATTGTGTTGGCTAAGGTATTTGTTATAATTATCTGAGATTTCAGATGATTTTCAAAGCATACCCCAATTCTGTGTACTTAATGATGGAAACTCTCTTGGTATCATGAAGACATTTCATCCTGTAAGTTATTTGTATATAATCATGCTTCAGAAGTGTCATCTTTTCATCTGCACTGTTAAGGTAATAATACATTTATATGGGAAGTTTCCTTGAAAATATGACACGTAATTACTAAAGCCAGAGTGGGTAGTATGTAATCTCTATATGCTTTAAAGTTCTTGCACTTTATTCTTTTAAAATGCTAATCAAGAATGTAAATAAAAGTTTAACTGTCTTTAATTTTTTCCCTTCAAAGAGCTGCTTGGATTCATGACGAATACCCTGTTCTTTATAATACAAGGTTTGTCATTTTTTGAATATAGATGTTAAAGCATCCTGGTTATTTGGGAGATAATTCTTAAAATAGTAAGAATTTGAATAGCAAATTGAATGGATGTTTCTCCTTTCAGATTTTGAGAATTGTTCAAAGCCAAATTGGGAGTGCTTGGAGAAAGGGAGGAGGAGGATGATTTAATTGCATTTCTCCTACATGTGAGTTTATCCTTTTGTGTTTTCTTTTTTCCTGATTGATAGTTCGATTACTGCTCAGTATGTTTTGAGTAACATATCTATGTGTCTATCGTTCTTTTCATTAGCTCATGGGGAAGACAGAAGCTGATTTTACAATGACATTTCGACAGCTCAGTGAGATTACGCAAAGCCGGTTATTAGATCTCAACTTCCCTCAGGTATTAATTTATGACATTTGGCTTTATTTTTAAGTCAGTTTTAAAATATCTTATTGAAGTTTAATTTATATGCTGTAAAGTTAACCTATCATAAATGGAAAACTCTGGGGGGAGTGCGGAGTGGAGACCCAAAGCCCATTTGTAGGCCACTGGAGATCCCCTTGCAGAGGGGCCTTGGGGAGGAGACGAGCCAGGGTGTGATGTAGCAACGATGAAAAATACAACTTTCCTCTAGTTCCTAAATGTTTTGTCCCCGCTCCCACTATGAAACATGAAGCATAATGTCTAACACATGGAAAAATCAACCATGATCTGAACTCTACCTTGCAAGTCTGGCTAGACCAGAGGATGTACACTGGTACAGATAGGAACTGGAAATACTACAGGAAACCCAGGGCGAATGATCCCTTTAGGACCAGTGGTGTGAGTGGCGATACTGGGAGGGTAGAGGGAGAGTGGGTTGGAAAGAGGGAACCAATTACAAGGATCTATATGTGACCTCCTCCCTGGGGGACGGACAACAGAGAAGTGGGTGAAGGCAGGGCAAGATATGACAAAATAATAATTTATAAATTATCAAGGGTTCATGAGGGAGGGGAGGGAGGGGAAAAATGAGGACCTAATGCCGGGGGCTTAAGTGGAGAAGAAATGTCTTGAGAATGATGAGGGCAATGAATGTACAAATGTACTTTACACAATTGATGTATATATGTACTGTGGTAAGAGTTGTATGAGCCCCTAATAAAATGATTTTAAAAAAATAGAATACAAAAAAAAATGGAAAACTCAATGCATTTTATAGTCAGTTGTGGCTATAATCCAGTTTTAGCACATTTCCTTCACTCTAAAAAGATCCCTGAATTCATTTGCAGTTCATCCCTATTTGCATCCCCAACCGCAAGCAACTACTAAACTGTTCTTTGTCTAGGAATGTTTTCATGGAGTCATACAATAGGTGATCTTTGGTGTCTGGCTTCTCCACTTAACATTCATGCTGTACCCTTTATCCTTTTCTTTATAGTAAACCCACTGCCATCGAGTGGATTCCGACTCAAAGCAACCCTATAGAACAGAGTTGAACTGCTCCATAGAGTTACTGAGGTTGTAAATCTTTATTGAAATGGACAACCTTATCTTTCTCCTGCAGAGCAGCTGGTGGGTTTGAACTGCCAATCTTACAGTTAGCAGCCCAATGCTTAACCCACCAGCGTCCCTTTATTGTATTACAGAGTAGTATCCCTTTGTATGAGCATACTACATGTTGCTTTTCTGCTTACTAGTTAATAAACAGCTTCTTTCTACATTTTGGCTATTATGAATAATGCAGCTATGAATAGTCATGGATCAGTTTGCTTGTTAGATATATGTTTCTGTTTTTCTTGAATAGAATAACTGAATTGTTTGGAAATTTATATTTAACTTTTTAAGAAACTGTGACTGCAGTTTTCCAAATGACTGCATTTAATTCAGTGTTATGAATATATGTTGGCTTTTTATTTCAGTGCTAACACATTAGATTCGTGGAATAATTTTAGAATTACCAGAAGACTTATTTTTTATAGATTTTCTAAAACTTAGATCTGTTTATAAGCTTTGTCTTTCAGATTGCCGTCATTGTTTTCATTCATTCTTTAAAAAAAAATCATTTTATTTGTTTTCATTCTTTCTGAGATTAAGTCCAGTCTAATTTCTAAAAATTTCAATTTCATCATAATTTATGATAATATTCTTTTTTAAAAATTATTTTATTGGGGGCTCATACAATTCTTATCACAATCCATACATCCATCCATTGTGTCAAGCACATATGCACATTTGTTGCCCTCATCATTCTCAAAACATTTGCCTTCTACTTTAGCCCTTAATATCAGTTGCTCATTTTCCCCCTCCCTCCCCCCTCCTCCCTCCCTCATGAACCCTTCATAATTCATAAATTATTATAGTTTTGTCATAAGTTAGACTGTCCAATGTCTCCCTCCGCCCTCTTCTCTGCTGTCCATCCCCCAGGGAGGAGGCAATACTTAGATTCTTGTAATCGGTTCCCCCTTTCTACCCCACATTCCCTTCACCCTCCAGGCATCGCCCCTCTCACCACTGGTCTTGAAGGAGTCATCTATCCTGGATTCCCTGTGTTTTCAGTTGCTATCTGTACGAATGTACATCCTCTGGTCTAGCCAGATTTGTAAGGTAAAATTGGGATCATGATAGTGGGGGGGAGGAAGCATTTAAGAACTAGAGGAAAGTTAATATGTTTCATCGTTGCTACCCTGCACCCTGACTGGCTCATCTCCTCCCTTCAGCCCTTCAGCAAGGGGGTGTATAATTTATGACAATATTCTTTGTAAATTCTTCATCTCGTTCTGATTTGAATTCAACATCACTTATGTATTTATTCAGCATATATTTATTGAGAACTCACTGTCTCACTATTGCAAGCTTATTATTCTGAATCAGGCACCATACTAAATGCTTTATAAAATAATGGAAGTGGTAGTAATAATAATGCGAGCTGACATTTACTGAGGGCCTGTTAGATGCCAGTGCAGGAGAAGGCGGGGCTTCCCACTCCTGTGAAGAGTGACAATCTCAGAAACCCACAGGGGCAGTTCTCCCTGCCCTCTCAGGTCACCTTGAGGGTTTTTGTTTTTAATGCCAAATACTATTTTAAGCATTTTATGTATATAATAGATGCCATACCTTGAAGGTAAGTACCATTGGTATCTCAGTTTCTTGATAATGAAACTGAGGCAGAGAGAGATTAAGTAAGTTGTTCCGGGTCATATTCTATTAAGTATTGAAATTCTAGAAACTTTCTCAGAAACCATGGAGTAACCTCCTTACTGTACTGAATCTTTCTCAAGTGACCCTGCCAGTTACCTTGTGAGATAGACATTATGCTTCATGTCTTACACATGGAAAAATCAAAGCTCCCGGAAGTGAAGTAATTTTCTCAGAGATACAGTGTTCCTCCAGGTCTTTATGACCCAAAGCCTATGGATACTGACTAGTTGGCTAAGCGGCCTGTTTTGTACCCGGCACTGGCACATGGGCTCTGAGATTGAATATGACGTAGTCTTTCTTCACAGAACTCCTAGGTTAGCAGCAAAGTGTGACATGGGTAAGAGTAATTATACCACACTGAGAACTGGTAGGGTGTAAATACAGTCCCATGGGAGGACTGAGAATCCCATAGATGCTGCTGGAAAGAGGTAGGTAAACACTGGCAAAGGAGGTGACAGTTGAAGGCAGACCAAAGTGGGTGGGGGTTGAGCAGCAGCAGGCGCAGTGCATGGAAACGTAAATGGAGAATGGAGAGTGAGTTGACTGGGCTGTCTCTTATAGTCAATGAGCAAGTACTTGCTTGTAGATCTGGGGAGCAGCATGATTGGAATTACGTTTTAGGAATGGTAACGCAGTGAGCTTTTCTTTATTCTAGTGGGGAGAGTCTGAAAGTAGGACGGACAGCCATGAAGCCGATGTTGCAGTTCAACATTGAAAATAAGCTCAGTCAGTATTAAAAGGACAAGAATAGAAACAAAAGTCTATAGGCAGAGTCAGTAGGAGTTGAGGTAAGAATATTTTGTCAGGGTTGTTCCCCTAGTCTGGGTAAGGAATTCCATTCCTCCAAATGCTTGAATACAGAGGACAAGTCTCTGGCCTCATGCCGTTTCTCTTAGAGTTTATGGTGTAGCTCTGATCTGTTGTACCCCCATCCTCAGAAGGGAGGTAAAATGCATCGATACTGCAACCCTACACCATTGAGCTTTAGTAGAACAACAGCCAATTCCTCTCCTAAAGGGCTGGGTGAACTGCTCTTTTGTTTCATTTTTATTCTTTTTATTATGAATTGGGTGAAGGTTTAAAGAACAAGTCAGGTTTTGTTTGGCTGTTTGTTTTCATTCGACAATTCAGATACACGTTGCTTCAGCTCATTGCTGGCAGGCCCCACAATGTAACACCACTTAACCTACTTCCTCTTTATGTTTCCTAATTCCATTCTTGCTTCTTTCCTTACTCTTCTGTGTTCTTGTCCTTGAGTAAATACTGCCTGTTGGTCTCAAATGGTTGATTATTCTAAGACTTGTGTGCTTCCCTATTATTGTTCCCCCTATGGACCTGATTCTTGTTCAGCTGGAAAGTGACTCATGGACGTGAGTTCAATTTCAGACCTGAAGGGTAACTGAGGCCTCCAGGTTAGCCTTCGACCAGTTAACCTGGTCTTTTTATGATTTTGCATTTTATTCCTTATTCATTTTTGATGTGGATAGTGCCAGTCCACTAAATCTCTTATAAATATATTGATATTTTCCATACCAGTACATAGAGAAAAATCCTTATTTTTTCTACTGAAGAGCAGTCCATTTGTAGAAGTATTTTGTTTCACCAGTTTCTTACAAATGGACCCTTGGGTTGTTTCCCAGAATGGATTTATGGAATCAAAGATTTATATAGCCCAAAGAGAATGAAGGAAACAAACTCTCAAAGAAGAAATTAATCCTCCGGAGTAGTAATTCACACAAACCACAACCTCTTCTAGCCTGAGCTCAAAGGAACTAGATGTTGCCTTACTACGACTACTACCATTCTGACCCAGGACACCATAGAAGGCACTGTGTAGAATGAGAGAGAAACGTAGAACAAAACTCGAATCCCTGGAATTTCTGCACAAGAGACTATAACCTGAGACGCTCACCCTAAGTCAACCGTTGAACATGGAATTGAAAATATATCTGCAGATCACCATCAGCCAAAAAGTAATTCAGCTTATAAAATCAGTAGTATCACCCATGTGATTTGCTTCCTTAATCACAAACTATATGAGACCCATCAGTCAACATTTTTTGAAAAGCAAAGATTCAAGAAGGCAAGGTGGGGAAGGGAAGCTAGGTCAATGAAACAGAACAAAGCTGATGCCAAGGGCTCAAGTAGAGGCAAATGTTTTGAGAATGAGGATGGCAACAAATGTGCAAATGTGCTTGACACCATGGATGTATGGATGTATGTATGTATGGATTGTGATAAGAGTTGTACAAGCCCCCAATAAAATGATTAAAAAATAAAAATGTTTAAACTATGGCGGGGTGGGGGTGGGGGGGGGACCGAACAAGCAGAATGGAAATAGAGGCTGCTGATAAAAATGCAAACATTTGTTACAGAATAAAAAAGAAAAATCTTTTTAAAAATGTAAAAATTTTAACCAGTGGCTTGCAACAACTTGTATGAATTACTGTGTAAGCTTTCATTTAAAAGACAATTTTAAAAATAGGTAAGAACCCCTCCCCCCTACTATGTGTCATATACTACAAAAACATTGAACCCTGGATCTTCAAGGCACACAACACACTTCAAAGGCCACACAAGAGGCATATGACGTAGAAACCCCACTAGGTTAGCTAGGCTGCAGCTCCAACATGCCTGTAACCGGAAGACTTACGTCCAAAAGTACCTGGTGTGTGAAGGGGCAGAAGGCAGCTACAGGAAGAGTGTTGAACTGTTGATCGGCAAACTAACATTTACTTACTACTTCAATGCCCTGCTTACTGTATTAAAATATGTATTGTTCTGGTAGACCCGTGTCTGAGATTGCCAGTGAATATTGTTATAAGTTATGCCTGACTCCCATTGTTTGTATAAATAGCATCCAGTCACATAAAGCTTTATTCTGTACAATAATTCATGCATTGTGATTTGTAGTTATTCTACACTTGTTCAATCTCCCTTTCTCAATAGTGTTTTAAAACTAGTACTATGGGCTAATCAATGACACTATAAACAGAGATCCTATGCTCCAGACTGATGATCAATAAGATTCTCTACTACAAAATAACAAAGCCATCTCTTTAAGGTGAACCAGAAGCAAATAAAAAAACACAGATTCAAGAATGTATTTTGGGCTTGCACTTAATCCTAGTTCCAATCTAAGAACAACTAGTTCTTGAGACATGGTCCTGCTCGATACTCATCCTCCTGAAGGAAATATGGAAGATATGGGTGTTATAACAAAGTGTGGTGAAGAAATTAGATGGTACCAGGCTATCAGAAAGAACAGCATCTGATACCTGTTTTGAGAATGATGATGGCAACAAATGTACAAATGTCCTTGACACAATGGATGGATGGATGGATTGTGATAAGAATTGTATGAGCCCCCAATAAAATGATTAAAAAACAAAATTTAATTAAAATAATAGTGCCTGAGTCTTAAAGGCTTGTTTTCAAACAAGCAGCCATCTAAGTGAGATGGCAATGAAGCCTACGTGAAAGAAGCACACCAACATCTGTGATCCAAGGGTTGTAAATTATATAATTCAAAACGGAAGGAAGGAATAATATCAGAGTATAAATTGTGAAATTCTGGTATGCAGAGGGCTGTGGATGACAGTGGAAGCCCAAAATACATTTGCAGATCTACACAGGGAATAGCCTAATTGAGGGATGGGGGTAATCTGATTATCAGACAGAGAGTATTGGAGAGACGACTCCTGTGTATTAAAATCATAAATCTGACCTGAATGGTGAAAACCTTGTCATTTGATCTCCCTTTTGATATCCTTTGTGCTTGATCTGGTTTTTAGTTTTCTATTTTTTTTATATTGGGGTTTATCTCTGGTATAGTTTGTCATTAGTGGTAGCCTTCTTTATTCTCTGTTATGTATTTTTCTGTGTTTTCCATTTTATGAACCCTAGGATAGAGATAATAACTGGAAGCAGGGCTCCTGGGGGGCATGGCGGGGGAGGTAGGGTGAGGGGAGGGGAGCTAATATCAAGGAGTACCAAAAGGATGAAAATGTTTTAAAACTGATTGTGCTCACTGTGTGATGTGATGGAACTATGGAATGGTATGATATCTGAATTAGGCCGTAATAAAATGGGTTGAAGGAAAATAAAATAAAAGGGAAGGGGAAACACGCATGGACTAAGTCTCTGGTGAATCCCTCTTAACATAGTCGAGGGATATGAATAGCCTGGCTATCATGCAGAGTACATTGGAAAGTGCATTATGGCAGATGTAGTTAAAACTTAACATCATTCGATCTTCCTTTTGACTAATTTTAAAGTTGTTCTAGTTTTTAATATTTTCTGGTTTCTTGCCAAATGAGGTTTTTTCTCTATTTTGTTATTGTTGTTAGCTTTTTTGTTTCTCTGCTTTTTGTTTTCATGTTTTCCAAATATGAAATCGAGGATGAGTGACTGTAGAGGTAGTAAGTGGATTCAAGGACCCTTGTGGGTCTGGCAGGGGAGGCTGGGGAGGGAAATGGGGAGCTACTCACAAGGAGTACAAGAAAGATGAAAATGTTTTAAAATTGATTGTGGTGGTGATTATACAACTCTTCTTGATATGATGGAGCTACTGATTTGTGTGATATGTGGATTGTATCATACTTATCATACAATGAAACTTAGAAAATAGACAAGAAGATGATACATGTATTTGGAATTTTGCTAGATATGAACCAATTGTCATAAGCTTTGATATTGTGTATTTGAATGAGCAATATGTTTCTTTTAAAGAGGGAAAGTGTTCATTAAAGGGGAAAAGGGAAAAGCAAATGCTTAATATGAAAATATAATTTTAATAATAGATTTCTGTTTCTCTTGAATATGAAATTGCCTCAACCCTCTAAAACCAGACCCAAACTGTTGCCATCAAGTGCACTCCAGTTCATGGCAAGCCCTGGGTAGCCCTGCTCCAGAGGGTTCTCTGGCGGTCTTCTGAGGAACCAGCTCTCCAGGCCTTTCTTTCATGGTGGGTGGTGGATGCAAACCAAATCATTTACTCCGACTGCCTTCGGTAGAGCTCGTTGCTTATTCTTCCTGTGTGGTCCATGAGCCTTTTATGTATATATCCCTGTACTAACATTTGTCAAATGGTATTGAGGTATTTGTTTATGCACTTCTTTTTTTTTTATCGTTTTATTAGGGGCTCATACAACTCCATACATCCATCACACAATCAATTGTGTAAAGCACATTTGTACATTCATTGTCCTTGTCATTCTCAAAACATTTGCTCTCCACTGAAGCCCCACCCCCCCACCCCCGCATCAGGTCCTCATTTTTTCCCCTCTCCCTGCTCCCCCGCACTTCACTTATTAAAGGCAGGGGCCATGTTTTATTAATTTTTGTGTCATCTCGTGCTGTACAGCTCTTAGCACATAGTTGACAGTCCTTAAATGTTTGTTACATAAATTAAGAGAGAAAGAAATAAACACAGTTGCACATTGACATTTAAAAATTAAATTATGCACCAAGAGCGTTCCCTATATAAAGCAAGGCTTTTGGTAATAAAAGTTTTCATTCTGTAATCTCATAAGAATTTTGTATGTTTAATTTTTTGTAAATCTTGTTATACCATGACAAATGTAAAATTGCTCTCTAGGGCAGGGTCGGCAAACTGGGTTCGCAAGCCTTATGTAGTAGCTCTTTCAGTAAAATTGGAAAAAATGTTAAGAATATTATTCAGATAATGGTGATTTTATTTGTTTGTAAAAATTTACTTATGATTCTTGAATGAATTTTAAATTGTTGTGAGGGACCGGACTGGATCTTCCATCTCAAAAATTTGTCAACTCCAGAGCGAGGCTTTAGAATTTGAGAATTGAATGATAGGAGAGGAAAAGAAAAATCCTATTTGTGTGTGTGTGTTTGTGTGTGAGTGTGTGTGTGTGAGTGTGAGTGTGTGTGACTTCTACTTGAATTATCATATTTTAAAAACTATCCAGATATTATGCTATCATTAAAGACCATAAGTAATTAAAAGGAATATAAGTAAAAATAAATGGAATCTGAATATAAATAAACAGTTGATTACTGTATTTTCATCTAGCATTTCTGGGCACTGAAGAAGATTTCAAAGCATGAACTCTTTCCGGCTTGGCTGTCCCAGTACCTTTTGAGACTGAAGCGGTGAAGAGCGCTAATCACTCCCACAAAGAACACCAGTGTACAGTGAAACCTACGGGAACCAGTGCTTGGCAGGTGTGCCTTGGTTTTGCAGGTCTTGCAAATGTTCTGCCTTTGACAGGGTGCAGTCTTACCATAGTTTCTGTTTCTTGTGTTAGCAGAAAAATGGGTTTTTCTTTCTGACCGATTCCCACCTTATGCAAGGTCTGGCTTTCTAGGTTTTACTGTATTTTAGCATTTTCAACATAGCGGCTTCCTCTCATCCTTTCCATTTTCCAGTATTTCCCGTTTGCTCTCAGGTAGCTGCACTGCTTGAGGCACCTGTGACTCGCGCTCATGCCGTGCATCTGTCTGATTGCCGTGGTCCTCTGATACCAGGGCCTCAGGTGGCCTGAGTCCAAGGAGAGCGGCCCACAGGGTTGGCTTATTTTCATGTCTTGTGAGAACTCTCTTACTCAGGCCAGTGGCCATTGAACTGGGAAGAGCTATTTGCTCTTGACACATTTGCTGCTTCTAATTCATTTTGAGTTCTTACAAGACATGGCAGTATTTTCAGAAAATTATGTCTATGATCAGGAAGTCTATCATATCGTTTAGATTGTAGAGAAAATTTTTAATTGGTAAAAATAAAAGAAGATTTAGTATTTTCTAGAATAAGAGGTTTAAAAATATATATTATTTAATCAAACTCAGTATTTTCTGCCTTCCTTTTATCCACTGTCTCTGATTTTTTAATGTTCTTCCATCAGGATTTGCCTTGTGAAAGAACTCCCTCCCTTTTGAATAAAAGATGTAACTTGAGAGACAGCGGTTAATGTTGTCCTTTGTTCTACTCATTTGTAGGAACACGAATGACTCGGATTCTCAAAGAAGAAAAAGAATGACAAGTAAGTAGTCCTTATGATTTGCTGAACTTTAACAAAAAATAAATCATTTTATTGGTGCTCTTACAGCTCTTATAACAATTGTATCAAGCATATTTGTACATATGTTGCCATCATCATTTTTTGTGTGTGTGAAACAGAGTTTTATATCAGAGTAATTGTATATTAAGGAAACATCCCAGCCCAGTCCAGATCTAGTCCCTAAGTCCAATATTAGTCCATGAATTTCTCTTCAGATTCATGCAGCACATGCAATGATGCCGAATGCAGGAAGATCACAGACCAGTGGGTGGAACAGCCTGTGGGTCCCATGATGGGGGAAGCATCTCCAGGGCTCTGGCTGTCATCCGCATGGCTCTATGTGGCTTGTCAACAGGAATGTCTCCCAGAGAGTGTGTGTGTCCCACCTCCAGGGAGGAAGACAGGAAGTTCCCAGAATCCTCAGCAGTAAGGCATGCCTACACAGAGGCCTCAATAGCTATGACCTGATTGACAGGCTAGGCTCCACCCCTTCTCTCAAGTTGACAGGAGATTTCTTAACGGCCACACCATGTCACTAGGGATCCCAGTTGTCAACAAGGCCGCTCTCGCAATGAGCATTCACCTCGGCAGGTGAAGTGGCGTAGTGAGTTACTCACTGGGCTGCTAACCAGAAGGCCAGCAGTTTGAAACCACCAGCCTCTCCAAAGAAGATATACCAATCTATAAAGTCCTCTTCAGACTCACGAAACACATGCAATGAAGCCAAATGCAGGACGGTCACCAGCCAGTGGGTAGAAAGTCTTTGGGTCCAGTGGCGTTGTAAGCATCTCAGCGCTGGCAGGGGTCTCTCTGTGGCTTCTCCGGCTTCCGAGGTCTGGTTGCGTCCAGGTGGCTTGTCTTCTGCAATGTCTCCCAGGGAGTAGCAGTGAGAGAAGTGTCTTCCTCCTCCAAGGAGGAAGTGCCAGATTTCCCAGAATTCTCAGGAGAAGGCCATGTCCACACAGAAGTCTCATTGGCTATCTCCAGATTGACAACCTAGACTCCACCCCTACAGTCTTAATCCTTAAATTGACACCAAATTAGGTGATTACCATACCTATCAATTTACCATAGTGATTACTAGCTCTGCGTTCATAACTTTCTATACTAATGCTAAAATAAACACTGCAAAAACTGGTGGAGAGACTGGAAGGTGGGTTATGGTATGGCAGAAGGAACATGGGATTTTGGAATCTAGCAGATATATTTAATTTCTATGTTTTTAGCTGAGATGTAATGGGAAGGGGATTTGACTCTGTTGGTGCTTAACTCAGGGGTGTCAAACTGGCGACCCATGGGCCACATGCGGCCCCCAAGGTAATTTTTTGTGGCCCATGATGCTCTGAAATAAAATGAAAATAGGAAAAATTGTGATGAAGAAAATAGCGCTAAGGGAGATTGAGGCAATACCGTACACACAATTCCCTCATTTACCCTGTAACTACTGACGGTGAGGATACATGTGGCCAGTGCCTTTCCTGGGGGCCTGTGGACGTGTATAAACGCGTGATATGCCTGCCACTCTCTGTCTCACGTAATGTAAACAGATTCCAATAGTGAAAAGGTTAAAAAGAGTACTGTGGGTTGTGCTGTTATGAATCAGATCTAGTGGCAGCGCTAGTTAACATATTTAGAGGGAAGCCCTTAGGATTGTGCATCACGTTTGTCAGCTGTCCAACATTTTGTGTTTTTTATTAGTTACTTTGTTATATTTTCTGGTCACAACATAAGAGGTAAGTGAAAATGTGTAGTAGTTGGACTTTGTAAAGTTAGCACTAAATTATACGCATCTTAAAGTGTATATTGATAGGTTAGTGATATGTATTACATATACTTTGTCAGGTTATAGGTATTATATATTCTATCTCTGCATTTACGCACTTTTGTCAAAAAATGTTAATTTATTTCTTTAAGCATTTTATTCAAGATTTTGAATTAATTGATTTCCAGAATGATTCGGTTTTAAAAGACAAACATCAAGAAGTAGGAATTCCCAAAATATATTCTTATTTAGGTGAGAGATACTCAGAAATTAAAAAGTTTGCTGCACAAACTTGTGCTATTTTGGGAGTACGTACTTGTGTGAACAACTATTTTTGTGCATGAAATTAAATGAAATGGCACACAGATCAAGATTAGCTGATAAACATCTATCTGCCTTAATGAAGATTGTCTGTTCTCAGTCTTTGAATCCAGATATTAGAAAACTAGTAGGAGGACAGCACTGGCAAGTTTTGGGTAAAAAAGAATAATTTTAGTTTTATAAATACATTAAATAAAATAAATGTTTAAATAAAAACAATTATATAGTGTTTCAATTATCCTATCCATATTCCTTAATCTCACTTCAAAATATAAATTCAATGAAATTTGTAAATGTGATGTGGCCTGCGTGAATCTTGCCTGTTGCACCAAGTGGCCCATGTTTTCATTGAGTTTGACACGCCTGGCTTAACTGTAGTAAAATGGGGCTGGTTATGTTGTGAAAATAGGACTCTTGGTGGTGCGGTGGCTAAGGTGCTCTGCTGCGAACTGGAAAAGAGTGTGTTTCCACCCACCACTTTGTGGGAGGAGAAACATGTAGCCATCTGTTTCTGGAAAGATTTACAGCTTTGGAAAACACCTCTCTTCTGTAGGGTCACTATGAATCAGAATTGACTAATCAGCAGTGGATGGGGTTGTAATGATGTGCAGTAATATATGTGACATATCTTGTTACAGGGCTTGGGTTAGACTCCAGAAACCAAAAACTCACTGCCATCTAGCTGATTCTGACTCAGAGGACAGGGTAGAACTCTGGGTTTCCAAGACTGTAACGCTTTATAGGAGTAGAAAGCAAGAGTGGTTGGTGCTTTTGACCTGCCAATCTTGTAGTTAGCAGTCCAATACATAACCACCGGGCCCCCAGGGCCATACTACACACCCAGTAATCGGTACTTAGAAGGACAATTTGCACTTGGGTATTGACTTTCAATTTGTTCAAATGATTTTACACTTGGGCTAGACATGAAATGAAGTTAGCTCATAGAATACAGACTGAGCAAGATCAAAGAAGGTAAGAGCAAAGATAGTTGGGTGCCCCTGCTTGCGGACCTCTAGCAGAGAGCGAGTATGTGTCCACAGGGTGGCTGGTTCCTGTGCATGACATCTGGGAGATGCTAACTCTCATTACTAGGCTAGGGATGGTATGGTTTTTGAGCTCAAAACTTGGTTGTAGAAATAAAGTTTCATTTTGACAATCAAGTGAGAAATCTTGGGGGTTCAGCATGCATTTAGTTGCCAGCCACTTATGTTAATTTAAGCAATTATAAAGTGTGTGGTGGGCAGCTCCAAATATGGACAATCCCAGCAGCCACGGGAAGGAAGAACCCAGGGTGGCGTCATTTTAGTATTTGGATTCATGTGGTTACAACAGGGTGGATGAGATGTTAAAATGAAGGAAGTTCAGTGAGCTCAAGGCTGCAGGTTGGAATCTGTTATTTTAGAGAATAAATTTTGCTAAACAATGTGCTTTCAACGAAGGTAAACATCTGTGTTCACAAGGGAATTGGAGTTTTTTATGTGGGCTGGCGGATTCGTAATGAGAGTTCATTTAATTTTTAAAGTTACACTACCATATATTATCTTTAGTACATAGCTAACCTATAGTGGTTCTGTGAGTCAGAATTGACTTGATAGGAGTGGGTTTACATAAATTAAAAAGTGAGTTACCCCCCATCAACAGATACTCCTACAAGGAAGCGTAGGGAGCTTTACTGGAAATTCAAGTTAAGCGGATCTGGAAGAGGCAGTTACACTTCTCTCGATGGGTAAACCAGGTAGAACAACCTGCCATTGGGAAACAGTGCTTAACGATACTTAAAGATGAGATCCCAAGGGGAGAATACACCCGGTACTGTGTTCCTAATTGGATACTTTTGATCTCGTTCCTACCCAGACCACCAGGCTGCAGGCCATAGATAACTAGGACTTTGTCCTTTCGAGGTGTACAACATCCTTCATAGGCCACACCAGAAGGATCCAAGATGGAAACTGCACTGAGTAAACTGGGCATTAGTTTTAATTCACCTGTAGCAGGTTTTAAAAAGAGAAGAAAAAAATTTATATGCAGAATGATTTTTCTCTTAAATCTATTTTAATAATGATATGAGAGTATATGCAAATGTGATTTAGTCTTATTCGTACACATCTTAATTAAATTAGGTAAGGATAAATAAACACAAAAACTCACTGCCATCAAGTCACAGCAGCGCTACAGGACAGGGTAGAACCGCCCCTGTGAGTTTCTGAGAGGTAAGAAAGCTGTGGAGCAGCTAGTGGTTTTGAACTCCTGACCTTGTGGTTAGCACCCAGTGCATAATGACTACACCCCCAGTGCTCCTGGCATGAAAAACATAATAGACTGGTGAAAAAAACAATTAGGAAATGGGAGTTTCAGTGATAAACAGAACTCTCATTTTCCAGTTTTTCCCACCAGTCTATTGTGTATTACTCTAACTCACTGCCATTGAGTCGATTCTGACCCATAGCGACCCCACAGGCCGTTGCCAAGACTGCACATCTTGACGGAAGCATGTAGCCTCATCTTTCTCCCATGGAGCCGCTGGAAGGTTTGATCCGTTAACTCTGCAGTTACCAGTCGGATGCCACCTGACAGTGCCTGCTCTGTCACACACAACATTCTGCTTTTCCAGCTACTGAGTTTAATTCATCATACTGGCAGCACTGAGCTCACAGACAATGCTCACACCTCGGCTTTGTTGGGGAAGTTAACAGGCTACGGTTCAAGTGAAAATGCTCATGACAGAACTGGTCAGCCCGTTCAAGTCACAGAGTTCTTTCTGGGCTGCTAATAAATGCCCACTGTCTGCCTCATTCTGAAGGCACTCCGCTCCAGCTCCGCGGGTCAGTGAGCCCCACTCCCTAGAGGCACCCCACTCACAAGCCAGCCTCCTGCGGAAAAGCACTCAGCTGTTTTGCTTGGTGGGCTGGGAAGTCCACACTGTCTCATGCTCTGGCTCCTGGTTCTGTGGCTGCTCCTCTGCGCTCCTTGGATGGCACGGCTGCCTTCTGGGTCAAAGATGGTCACTGCACAGGGACCTCAGGGTCCAGAGGGCACGCTGCTCTCCTGGCTCTTGCTCACAGGGAGATCCCCACCCTGCTTCTCAGAGAACTATTTTTAAAAAAAAATCATTTTTGGGGGGGTTCGTACAACTCTTATCACAATCCATCCATCCATCCATCCATTGGGTCAAGCACATTTGTACATATGTTGCCGTTATAATTTCCAAAACATTTTCTTTCTACTTGAGCCTTCCGTAGCAGCTCATTTCCCCCTCCCCCATCCTCCTTCCCTCCCTCCCTCATGAATCTTTGATAATTTATATTTTTATTTTCATGTCTTACACTGACTTTTCTGTTGTCTGTCCCCCGGGGAGAGGGTTATTTGTAGATCCTTGTGATAAGTTCCCCAGCAGGATGGCATGCACAGTGAAGCCTGTCAACAGTTATTCATAGCTGAATTCTACCCGTGCCTTCCCCCACCTTCTTACCCAGACCCCTGCAGGCAAAGGTCATGTGGTGGGATTTCTTCCATTGTAGATTAGTTGGGATTCGTCCTTGGAAATATTGAGTCTTTTGTTGCTGAATTTCCAATATGTTAATAGTTTTCAGTTAAATGGTGGCAATAGCATGATTTGTTTTCTATTAAAATGTGCTCAAGGAAAGATCCCCTTAAGTCTCCTTTCTCAACCCTAAACTCCCTGTATTCAGCAAACGTCCTGAATGCTCCCTCAGTGCCCCTTACCTCAGCCGCAGTGTTGAAAGCTGAGGCCTCAAAGATGAATGAAATGTTAAAGATGAATTAGGTTCCTGTCTACATAGCCTCTGACTTAGTGATTTCATTATTATGGGGTTATCTGAAGATCTGGTTGGACATCTTAACCCATTTGCTTAAAATGTTGTGTCTGGAAAACAAAACAAAACAAAAACCCCCACGGCAAATAAAAAGTCCCAAACCAACTAAAAATGTACTAAGTCCTCAGTGAATCTTACACACAGATCTATACTTTGATTTTGATGCCCCGGAAAAGGGATGAGACAGGACATTTCTAGGGTTTGCTCCAGGACCCACTAAAGGTCATGTCTGAAATATACAGTGTTTTCTCTGATAGCCAAATTCGGTGAGGTCGCCTTGTATTATATAACCTTTGTACTTAGAATTCGATCCAAAGTACACTGCTTCCAGAGACAATCACTTCCATGTCTTATCCGGATTTTCATGGCCAAGTTTCTATAAAGTGCCAGAGAGTCTCCCTTTTAATAGTGGTTGCATGCTCTCCCTCCCCAGTCGAGCCCCGCTTGCTCTCGCACGCTAGTTCTTCTTTGGTGAAAAGAGTGCATGTCTGTTTGGTGGGTATGTGTCTGCATGTGTTTCCTTTAAAGACTTTGTTTTTAATTTGATAAAGGTAAATTAATAGGAACAACAACAACAAAAAGAACTTCCGTATCTCCCTCACCAAACACAACTACTTCCCCTCGATACATTGAATCCTGGTGTTCTGTGGCTATTGGCTCGAAGGCAGTGTAGTGCTACTCATCCTGAGGTATAATTTTAGATTTCCGTATTCTCACTAAGGAGTCTTAGTGGTAAGTGTTGGACTGCTAACTTCAAGGTCAGTGGTTCAAACCCACTAGCCACTTTGTGGGGGAAAGATGAGCTTATCTGCTCCTGTAAAGATGTAGAAAACCTGACACCTGATATAGAAGTGCCATGGATCAGAATTGATGGGAAGGGTTTGATTTTCTTTGGAGGCAGGGGCTTGGTTTCTTTTCACTAATAATAAAATGGGCTTTTTTCCCCTTCGTCACAGCATAGTCTTTATAACGTTTTAATGGTTCTTTGAAGTGCTCTGTAAACATACCACTATTATCAAATATTTAGACTTTTCCTTAATGGGAATAGTGCTTGTTTATAAGTGATTTTGTTTCATTAGATTGTACTTGTAGAGAAGTAGAATTACTGGGTTACAGGATACTTAAATTTCTAGATTATCCCTCATTTCTTCCAGATCTTTAAGTCCAGGTTGAAGTGAAATTTTGTTTTGTTCAATCTAGTCAAATCACTCAGAAACTGCTGTTGAGAACTGTGAATCAGATTTCTGTAATCCTCTCAGAACTAAGTTACCAGTGGGACAAGCACCCGCTGCCACACTCCCTTCAATAATAAGCTGATGTCAAATTAAGTTATGAAACCTGGTGGCATTGTTAGAATATCTTACAATATGAAAAAATTACATGGGTGCATCCAAAGGTATGAAGGGTTTTGTCTACACATAGCCTTCCAGCTTGCCCTGAGCAGCACACATGAGGATGCCTACTCGGCCATTGATTCTGTACCTGAAGATGCTGCAAACTGCCACTGCTTCTGCTACGGGGACCATAGGTCCAATTCACATAAACTGCTTCCTGCATGGCTTATGAAATGCTTATGAACCAAACATGATTTTTAAACATGAATGTTGAAGTACTAAAAATGAAAACATACCAAAAATCATAACAAAGAATTTTTTCTGCCCTAGAATTATCTGATACTGATAATTTGCTCTCTTTTTTTAATTTAAATTTTAGTTTAGTGGGGGCTCTTACAGCTCTTATCACAATCCATACATATATCCATTTTGTCAAACACATATTTACATATGTTGTCATCATTTTTTTCAAAGCATTTTCTTTCTACTTGAGTCCCTAACATCAGCTCCTCATTTTCCCTCCCTCCCCTCCCTCCCTCCCCCAACTCCCCTAGATAATTTATATTCTTTTTCTTTTCATATTTTACACCGACTGCTGTCTCATTTCACCCACTTTTCTGCTGTCTGTCCCCTTGGGATGGGGGCTATACGTTGATCATTGTGATGGGTTTCCCCTTACTCCCCGGCCCCTATCCTTACCCTCCTAGCATCGCTGCTCCCCTTATTGGTCCTGATAGGTTTATCTGTTCTGGATTCCCTGTGTTTCAAGCTCTTATCTGTACCAGTGTACATGTACTGTTCTAGTCAGATTGGTAACATGGAATTGGGGTCATGGTAGGGGGCGGTGGAGGAAGCATTAAAGAATTGGAGGAAGGTTGTGTGTTGCATCGGTGCTGTACTGTACCCTGGCTGGCTCTTCTCTTCCTTAAGGAGAGTGGAGACCAAAAGCCCATCAGTAGTCAATTTTGTCTCTTTTGGGCCTTTCAGCAATATTTTCCGAGTTTGTTTCATGTCAGTGGCGAGGCAATATGGCCTGCCTTGACTCCATTGTGTCTTGACCCAAGACATGCCTTTCTTCTTGTTTAAGGTGTGAATCCCAGATATGTGCGGAGAAACTGGATGGCAGAATCTGCAGTGCAAAAAGCAGAAAGGACTGATTTTTCAGAGGTAAGGTGGTACACTTTCCTTTGTTACTGTTCATTAATTCTAGATGTACCACGTTTGAGACACACTTCGTGCTTATAGACCTAGTATTGCCAATACTCTTCCCTAGTCCTTTCTCCCTGGTGTTTCTCTCTTGAACAGAAAACTGTTTTCTCAGCTATTCTGTTTATTCTTTTGCATATTTAAATATTAGACCAGTCAATTTAGTAACATGTTTACATTCTTTGAACTTCTGAGAGTCTGATTCTGGTGCTTATGGTTTGAATTTTGGAATTTTGATTTCAATCTCATGATTGAAATCCAGTAAAGTCTGATTTATGGGTGCCTACATCCAGAGGGAACTAGCATTGGTTTCAACCAGGTATCCATGGTGCCCCCAATCTGGGCCCATTGTCAACTAACTTCTGGACAGCAGTGGCGATAAAGTAGAGCTACATGTGTTAGCCTGGAAGAATGTCACGTGTAATGTTTGACAAAACAAGCAAGCCACAAAGTAACCCAGATAAGGTGTTACCACTTAAATATGGTATGAAAAGCTGGTGTATGAAAAATAGGCCCAATCAGGCTCTATGTTATTTAGGCACACGTGCAGATTCAAGTGTAGTAGGAGTGCAGCCAGATCCCTAAGGATGACCGACATCCACTGTTGTGGGTTAGTAACGGAGGGCACTCTAGGACTTAGGGAAGGACACTCGGGGCTTTGTCCAAATTGGAAGGACAAATTGGAAGAAAATGAGGGAAGGCTATCCAGGTGCTCATTGTGCTGTCCTGTGTGTCCTGTGTATAAACGGTTTCGTAATTATTTGGTTCAGATGCATGGCCCATGATGTACGTTTCTGAGCAGGGCGGTCCTCTGCCCTGCACTCGCATGCTCGTGGCTAAGGGTCCTGCCACTCTCCTCTCCCATACTGCTCACCGCCTCAGAGCCAGGCTCATCACAGCCCGCCATGCCATCTGTGGATGGGAGGAGGCCTGAAAGAGGAAAACACTTTGTTGTTTGTGATTGGAAATTTGGCCTTGGCCTTTTATTTGTTCTAGCCCTCATGGACTTTGATTTTAGAAAATTAAACCTTTTAAAGTTTAGCCTTTTAAGGAAAAACAAAAGGAAAGGGGAAATTTTCTTTAGATTTATCTAACTTGGGACAACTAACCCATAGTGACCCTACCTGTAGGACTGAGTAGAACTTCACCTGACCATATCTAACCTGTGTCGGTCTTTGTAGAAGCAGATTCCCGGATGGGCTGGTGGGTTCCAACCACTGACATTTTGGTTCGTGGTCAAGCGCTTCAACCACTGCGCCATCAGAGCCCTTTGGGATAACAAAGCAGTGTTATTGAATATTTTTGTTGATCTGCTAGTAACCATTCAGAGTCACAAGACAGGCCAGACTTGCCTCAGGCTTCTCAGAAGGGTATGCCAGGAACTAATTAAACCCCTAGGACAACACGGTGCTCCTAGTTTGCAGGAGCCCCTGCCGCAGTGTCAGCACCTCTGGTAACAACTTTACAGGCTGAGTTTCCAGCGTCCCACAGAAACTTGCCTTACAGCAAGAGTTACCACACTTAGGAGAAATTGGTGAATCAGAAAAGATTGCCAATCACTGCTGGGTTTTTTCTCTGGAGGCGAGTAAATATTTTCGAAAGTTATAATTCTCTTCCTAATGTTGTGAGAGAATCTTATAATTATGGGGACAGATGTGTAGTCTTCATGCATTAAGTATTCCCTCTCCTGTTTTAGGTCAAGAGTGGTGCTTAGCAAGTAAAGGACATTTGAAACAATGACAGTAGTTGAGGTTATAGCCGGGGTGGGGGTGGTGGGGGATGGGGAGGCGTGGGAGAGTAAAGGGGAAATACACATGGACTAAGCCTCTGGTGAATCCTCTGAAGGTAGACCAGGCATGGGAATAACCCTGCTGTCATGCAGAGCGCATAGGAAAGCGTATCATGGCAGATGTAGTTAGGTTAAAAAAATTGGGGGTGGGGAAGGGTTGTTAAAATTTAATACCTTATCATTTGATCTCCTTTTTGACTTTCTGTTCTAGTTTTTAATATTTTCCACTTTCCTTTTTAAAAAAAATCATTTTATTGGGGGCTTGTACAACTCTTATCACAATCCATGCATACATCCATTGTGTCAAGCATACTTGTACACTTGTTGCCATCATCATTCTCAAAACATTTGCTTTTGGCTTGAGTCCTTGGTATCAACCCCTCATTTTTTTCTCCTCCCTCCCCCCCTCCCCCTCCCTCATGAACCCTTGATAATTTATAAATCATTATCATTTTGCCATATATTACTTTGTCTGACGTCTCTCCTCACCCACTTTTCTGTTATCCGTTCCCCAGAGAGGAGGTTATATGTAGATCCTTGTAATCCGTTCCCGCTTCCCACCCCACCCTCTCTCCACCCTCCCCAGCATCGCCACTCACACCACTGGTCCTGAAGGGATCATCTGTCCTGGATTCCCTGTGTTTCCAGTTCCTGTCTGTAC